GAAATTACTTTTACATTTTTTCTTTTAATATCTAGTTCAAGTGTGTTGATGTTTCCCATCAGAATGTAGGTTTTGTACTAAAAATAGAGGGATTTTTTTTCCCTGAAAATATTCCCTCCCTCCCCCAAACCTGATACTCACTCTACCAGCTTAGAGACTAAACTAGCCGTTACATTCCTAAAGTGCTCCAAATGACCTCAAAATACGCTGAACACAATTCCCTGCCTCCTTTATTAAGACACCATTAGCACGAAAGAGCTGCGTTTTGACAGCCCGTTGAAGGGTGCACTGTACCCAAATAGACACACGGCCCAGGTCTCTTCTGAAGCCTGCTCAGAAGGAATAAGGGCTGAGAGACAAAATAAAACATGATTTTAGGGTCCAAACTGGGGCCACAAACCAGACTTTATGACAATGATCAATCTTCATCCAGCTTAACTCTGCCAGAGGTGAGATGTTGCAAAAAGCTTATCTGGTTTTCCAATTTTTTTTTTTATTTATTTAAACTGTACACAAATGTAAGATACTTCAACAGCATATCTAAGTGAAAATTGTTTGGTTTAAATTATTATGGAACAGAACCTAAAAGGAACTTTATTAAATAAACATAAAAACTGGATTTAAAGGATGCACATATTGTAATGTATACTACAATAGTCATTTCCACTCTACAGTCCATGTGCGTATGGTATAGAAAAGACATCAATAGAACAAACAGAATTCATTTTGTACCCTGAAATAGTTGGTAGGCCTCGTGAGGGATTGCTCAGTACAACTACATAATACGTGATGGCTTTGCCATCTCATAAAAATTATAAACTAATATGTTGGCCTCTTTGGTTCCAAAATTTATGTATAATACATTTAACTGTATTTCATTTTTTGCTGCTACAAAAATAACATTTTTTTCCAAATGGCAGTTTTTTTTTCTTTTTGACTAATCATGCAACTAAATCAGTGCAAACATTAAAAGCAATCATTCGCTTTAAAAAAGAAGCAAAAGATTTAATTTCAAGTATAAAAAAATATAAAAAAGTCATTTCATCAGTCCAGTTTTGTCTAGTATGGGTCAACATTTTACATTGCATAGCTCATGCGGCACCTGTTTACCTAGATAGTGAGCAAAGATAAGTGCACTATCAAGTACCACTTTTCAAGGCATTGAAATCTGCAAGTGCTATAATACGTGCATTCAAGCAGTTTGCAAGTGCTATGCTGTATTACTGTTTTCTGATCTTTATGGCCATCCTCGACACCTCCTGGTAAGGAAATCGAAAGCACTTTCCTCTCCTTTTTTTCCAAGACTTGTTAAATGTTCCTTGCCTGTTATTAAATGCACTGCATTTTTTCAGAATGTCTCCACTGTGTTACTGTAATTCCTTTTTAGGGTTCATTGGTCTAGTCGCAGTAGCGTTTGCTTGTTTGTTTGTTTTTTCCCCCGTGTGATGTGTCCTTGCCGAGTCCCCTGTTGAAGAACACAGATTGCAACTTTGATTTTCTTTGTTCTTAGGACAGTGAGATACAACATGCTAATGCTCCAGAAACGAGACAAAAATCCCCTTTGCAATGGCGCAACAGGCAGGGCCGTCCATGGATTTCTAGTGGTCTGTTAAAGCATCAAATAATGCCGACCCAACACGTCATTTAGCAACAGTCTTACGTCAGAATTACAGTAGTTGCTTACGTATCTCTCTTTCTCTCTCTGATGTTATGGTATGGTATTCCTTACTGGAAGTGCTGTAGGAAGATAAGGATTTCTGTGATGAGACTTATGTTAAGAGGATGTGATCACCTACATAAGCAGGTGTTCTGCAGCTTCCCTTTAGACCTCGGAGGTGATGGTCCTTTTTAAGTTTGGTCATTTTTGACACCTGCGTGCAACACTAGATTACGTTCTCTTTTTGTTTTGTTTTTTTCCTTGTGCTTTTGTATGAGCAAAGAGAGCTCATTTTAATCTGACTTCACTGGCAGGTGCGGAAACAGCTGCTTAGCCATTCACTTGTACTGGCAAGCATTTAGTTAGGTTGTCACTAGTCACTGACTTCCTGTTTCTTGTATCCCTTTTCCAAACTGCTGGGTGCGTGTGTGCGCGCGTGGCTGTGGCTGTGTATGCGTGTGTGCATTTAAGGTATCTCTTAGCATTCATTTATAAGTGATAGAATATTTAAGTGTTCAAGATCCACAAACTGCCACTGTCCCGACACCAAAGTGAAACATTTTTTGTTTTTGTCAAACTTGTCCACAGTGACTTTTCAACACCGATGCCTGGATACAGAGTGAAACTTCCTCCAACACCATCTAGCACGGGGATGTTCTCTTTCTCTCTCTCTCTCTCGCTCTCCCCCCCCTTAAAACACACCTTAAATCAAGCACAACCACATTCTTCCACAATCATATTGGGAACGTCCCTTTTCACAATGTTGTATTCATCGTCAAAGTACAGCATTGACATTGTGCTAAGTTTGGTTGGGATGCAACAGGAGTTCACGGTGCCCGGGTTCAGCCCTCGCATTCTGTACTGATTCACTACCGCAGTGTGAAAGGAGGAAGCTGACCCTGGGACGCCAGCCAAGTAGGCCGGGCAGCTCCCTTCACAGTAATTCCCATAGTAACCTGATGGCGCTATGATCCAGTCATTCCACCCAATGAGTCTAAAGTCAATGTAAAACTGTTGCCTGCAACATAGATTGGTCCTGCCATCACACTCCAGACCTCTTTTCCGGATCCTGTGTTTGTTATCAGCTAATCGGGCTTGCACCACTAAAAAAGGCCGATGGGATTCCTCCCCAGGGTCCACGTAAATTGGCAGCACTGAATACTCTTCGCAGCCCTCACATTGAACATCCAAGTTCAGTCTCCTTTCTCCTTTCTCAAATAGAGCCTGGATTGCCTCTGTCATGGGAAAAGTGTGCCAACCACTTCTTTTGAGATCAACTTTCTTTTCAACCACATTCCACTTGTTGCTAGTGTCCGGGTCCTGGAAATAGACTTTGACTCTTACTTTTCGCCTGCTGCCTTTCTCTAAGACGTACGGAAGCAGCTTCAAGTAAAGCCAGAGGCTGGCCTGAACGACAAACAAGTTCTGGTTCCCTTCGTTTGAGATGAAGAAATAGAGGCGGACTCTCGACGAGGCCAGATCATCTGCAAGATAAGGAGAAATCAGCAACGTTAAGCCAAAAAGAAAATGCATCATTTGTGCAATTCTGGATGCAGAAGCAACACGGCAGCATAACTGATCAAAAGAGCTGGGAGAATTCATCAGCCAGAAATAATGCACTGAATTAGACATCCAGAGTTTGTATTAGAAATGCATCAAAAAGCAACTTCCCACAGCAACGCTCTAACCAGGCTGTAGCTGAATGTGACAGATCCATAGAAACCAGCATAAACTCTTCAGAGCTCTGGCTTTTTAGAGTCAGACAAACTCAAAAAAGCTATATAACACCCCGTCCAGAAAAGAACAGTGTTAGTACCTGGATATCTAGTCATTAAGAAACATATTAACCTCCAAATGCCTTTGGAAAGGCTTTTTAGCAGCCAAGATCGAATAGCTGAAAACTGTAACAAAACCCTTTATTTTCATCTCACTTACTTAACAAGGGATCCAGAATATTGGGGAAAGATGATCCCGTATCAGGTCCACAAATGGCTCAACTATCCCACACCTCATCTGCTTAATTAGTACAGTATCTGCTATTAGTAGCCTTTTCCCCCAATACAAGCACATTCTTTCCTGAGGAGGTCAGATGAAGCAGCCCTGGTTATCATCATAACCTTTCTACTGACTGTTTTTAAATGTATTTAATAATGCCAGAGTTAGATGACTTAAACTATCCCCAAAGGTCTGATACCAAGGCATTATTTGAAGTGAGAAAAAAAAAAAATCCATGCATACCAGACCTCTCGGTATCCCCGCTGTCATTTTGCGTTACGGGCACTAAATAACTGCCCACTCTGGCCTGACAGTCTTCCTATAATCCAAGTCCTCTAACTGTAGCCTCCTGATTGCTCTCTGAAATGATTAGATGGACAGGTATTTCTAGTCTGCTATCATCTGGATATTGCAATGCACACACATTTCTCTCCCTTTCAGTTTTCCAGAAAGCTTTATTATTTTAAATCCAGCTTTGAATTATCATCATCATCATCATCATCATCACTGCCTTCATTTGTTATCTGCAATCTCTTCAAAAGGCATCTCTTGGGCCCAGCCAGTGTCTTACAACATTTCAAATCCATTATAACATTTGCTGTGTCTACATAAGTTTTATATAAAACAGAATAGAAGAATATTATTATATAAAACAGGTCTTTAAGATGTGGGGAAACCAAGGAACAAATGGAGCAGTGAATAGAAGTGCAAACCCAGCAGAGATTGCATAGCATTGGCCTTCAGATAAAACAGCAAAAGCAAAATCAGTGATAATCGAAGTCCCTTATTCCAGGTTAATACACAGCTTTCCTGCAAACTGTGACTACAACAGAAGGAAATTAACAGCACGGTGTCACTGAACCAATCTATGTTACCTGTACCATGTGAGCACCTGAGCTATATATGTGTGTATGTACCGTGCATGCCTATAAATAAATCGGAAGGAACTACAAACAGGCAAGCTCATATGCAAGCTAAATAAATATAATAAATATAGTATACTGCAAATGTGTATGCTTTTGACAGCAGGTGGGAGGATAAAGTAGATGCCTGGGCAGCACTTACAAAGATAAATGGGTATGTAGATGCTACAGAAAGACAGATTCAGAAGTGAACTGAGTGACGGTAGACTGATGGAGAGATTGAGAAATCGAGTACAAAGCTAGTAGGAAAAGTGACAAATAGAGAGTGTGTTTAATGATCTGGATGGACACGCAATGATATTGCACAGTAGAGAGGGATGGAGAGATGGGTGGGATCAATATGATTGATACCGTGGTCGGATGGGGACACGGTGACTAGGTAAATGGATGGCTGAGCACACCAAGCAGATGGACAAGCAGGAGACAGAAAGCTGGATATAGTCAGCAGATGGATAAAGGAAGTCCAAAGATGGAGTAACATGACTGACACTGTGAATGACCAGACTGATACACAGATAAATGAGCTGAATGGATATGTATAGACTGTATAAAAGGGGAAAGGCAGAGCAGGGAGATGGACAGATGGAGCCATACAGTGGAGAGATGCATCAGAGAAGTCTGTAGAAAATACAGAAGAGAAAGGATAGCACGGGCAGGGCATGCAGGGACGTGCAGACAGATGGATGTGGCAGAGAACCACAGGATACGCAGTTGGAGGAGCTGGAAGGAGGGATGCAGCTGAGTGGGCACAGGATAAGATGGATGCATGGGGGCTATAAAGCATGCAGAAGAGAAACTGAACCACTGGACAGGGCTGCTGGGCACGTGGATGAAAAACTATGGATGGCCTGACTGTAGTGAAAGCAGTGTGGATGGGCGGGTGGGTGGATAGATGGATGGGGCCCAGGGGACACAGAGCAGAGTGTGAATGCACGGACACGCAGAGGGACAGGGAACATGGACCTGGTGTCCACAGGTGACAGGACAAATGGGGAGACGGGTGTAGCAGAGGAGCTGAAAGACCTGGAGCAGGTGAATACATGTGGCAGAAGTGGCCGGTGGGCACGTCCTGGGATGGGGCAGGAAAGGGCAGGCAGAGGTGATGAGTGGGCAAAACGAGCGTTGCAGATGGACTTGGCTGGCTCTAGAACAGAGGGAAGGAGGGAGACACGGATGCATGCAGCAGACACAGGGCAGGGAGGGCAAAGGGAAGAGGGCAGCAGGTGGCATGTGGGTCAGGGGGGATGGACGGAGCAGAGCTGGGGGGATGCAGTGGGGCAGAGGGATCCAGGGGATAAGGAAGCTGAGAGACCCAGGGAAGAAGGGGCAGCAAGACTCAGGGGAAGGGGCAGCAGCAGGACCCAGGGGACATAGCAGCAGCAGCAGCAGCAGCAGGAAGGGGGGTGGGAAGGGGCAGCAAAACCCAGGGGACAG